TCAGACTCCTACTGGCAAATCCATCACTTTGAAGGAATCAAGATAGACCAGCCAATAATCGTCTCTTTGGTCAATGTGTTCCGGAACGCATGGCAAGCCGAGATCGTACTTGTAGGTACTTGAATTGTACATCGAACTTTGCGGTTGCAGACCATCGCTCTCAATTTGGGGAATCGGGATTGATTACTATATTTACAAAGCATTCCTAGCGTCATCAGTGTATTTTTAATTTCGAAATTGAGAAAATCACATACATTCTTTTTAGCTGTAGCTCCGACTTGGTAACCTCTGTTGCCTGCGACGTGCATGCTTCCTAACCTGGCAAAACAGATATCCCCAGCGTAACCTCTCAGTGTACAATAATGCGCTGTTGCAGACTGAGCGTTCGGATCGAAGTTTAGCAGACTCTTCCCTGGATATACCAAAAAACGGAGTAATAAAGATGGGTTCTGGCACATACCGTCGGTTGGTTGGCTCGGTCCCAAGCCCCCTAGATGACTTCCTTGACCAAGGACTTTGGTTTGGAAAAAACGGCACTTCTGCCTCTCCCACAATCCTGCTTAGGTATCCGGAAACCGTTAATACCCGCGTGATACACAGCATCCACGTTTTTTCACAACCATCCCCGGCACCTCCATGAATCTTCATCGACCTCTTTCACAGGCGAGAGTTCTCACTAAACGAGTGGCCGAGCAAGTGGCATGTCATTTTGTCCCTTTTTAGTCGACAACTGTCGTCTTGCTTCATCGAAAACTTTACGGATTTCATGTTCGTTTTCTCTCACCCATCGCCACTTAGGGACCAGCTCCGACTTTCCTAATCAGTCAGTGTAAGGGCCCATTGGGATTGTTCGGGAGCTCAAGCTGCAATATGGACCGTTGAGAATAATGGTTAGTTATGGTAATCGGGCAAAGCAGGTTGAAGGGTATAAAACTGGAACTGGGGTTGTAAGTCGTGCCTCATCCCAATCCAACTTCAACCACCACACGTTATTTTGCTCTTTTCCTCAGATCTTTTTTCCCCGAAAAAATCTCCCCATTAAAAATGGACATGGACATGGACATGAACATGGACGATCTGATTCCGGCTATTCCTTTATTCGCAACTCCATTCGCGGGCGACCACCCCACAGTTGGCTGTATGACCGATAACCCCCAATTTCAATTCGATTTTTCTTCGACTCCGTCCAGAGACTACTTCCAAAGCACCGAATCTACCGACCCAGTTAATCAACCCGGGAACGTCACTGGCGATACTGGACTTGTATATACCAGCGATCTTCTCGAACTACATAACCGGATTTGGTCGCTCTCTGACGATGAAGTTATGGAGCTAGCTCGGGAGCTAGACATGCCAATGGACGATCTCCTTTGGAGAGTTTGGGTTAGACGAATGATGGCTTGTGTTTATTCGCCCATCGGAAAGCAGGATTTGTTGCAGCGAGTTCCCTCTCCTGATGTTAGTATGCATGGGTCGTATAACGGGAGCGCCATCAGCGATCTATTGTTCGGCATTCACGACGCTCAAAAGAATCTCTTCTCCGGGTGAGCAGGACGCTGATAGTCCTCCGTAACCCCAGATGACTGAGAAATTTGTCTTCTTTTACCTTAGATATGTACATTCAAACGATATCCTGCTTAGCCCTATTGACATCCAGGCTTCGCCCAGTGTCACTGATAGTCTGTACGTCAATCCAAAGCTTACTCGTTATCCGACACCTGATTCAGGATCGTATACTCGCAGTCATCCTGCTCAACATGATCTAGCTTTTCCGGAGTCCAACATGATCAATTTCGACCCTCAATCGCCTGACACAGAGATCCTCCTTCTGAGGTCCCCTACGTTCATCGAATCGGATTGTTCTACTCCTTCGACGGTACCTGCATTAGAAATGGAAGCATTTACTGCTCAGGATTACCCTACTGGTCACTACGATCACCAATACGATCCCATCGTCATCGACCATTTCGAACGACAGGTGCCCTCCCCTCCCGCTCACTCTTATCTCGGACATCCTGACACAGGCGCCGGGGGAGGTTATCTGTACCCAAGTGAACATCTGTCTCCAAGTCAAGTTCCCGGCGCGTACGTTGGGAGTAGCGACCCCTCGATACAGAGGTGAGAAGATTTTTTCTCGTTCCCCGTTATTTCTGATTGTTTTCCCTGCTTTTTGTCTCTCTCCTCATACTCTCCTCATAAAAGCGTCGAAAAGCTCCCTGAATGTCCTACGGATGTCGCCGATCCCACCAGCATGATGGTCACCTGGAACCTTGACTCCCCATCTTCCGTTCAGGTACCCCCGTCCATGGGCCCAGCAATTTGAGCTTCTCCGGGCAAGGGAAACACAAAAACCTGAGTGGGGGAAGAATGTAACTCTGGGCGGGGGGAGAATTTGATAGTGCGCGCGGGGGAACCTTTTTGGGCGCGTGGGGGGGAGACACTTTTTTGGGCGCGCGGGGGGGAATTTTAAAATTTTATTTTTTGACACTTTTAAACACCATAGTTTTCAACCCGGAGTCGTTGAATCTTTCGAGTCTGTGTATGTTGCTGATAAGTCTTGTCATTTAAGAACTTCCGACAGCAATCACAAAAAGCTCCACGGATAGCAGTAAGGGTTCAGCAGTAATGATACGAACTGGCTGTCCCCTTTGGAACCTTTGAAGCTCCCAGCTCTCCCTGATGATACTTTTGTTTTAGGCAAATTTGGGGTGGTTTTGCGACTTACGTACAATCGCAGACAGCCCATATTACCCTGGCCCGGGCAGTAATTCACCCGCAAGTGATTGCCAGCAGATTAGATAACGGTCCGAATCTGTTTATCTATCTGAACTTCTTTCAGATGTTGAGCACGCCTATCCAGTTTATGTTTTCATATGCTCCCGGGCGTTCTGGTGATTCTGGACCCAGAGTAACGTGAACAGTATCGATATCCAACGGATTACCCCCAACGCTATAGTGTACCCGCCAAACCTCCGACCTTCAGCTCCGAATGCTGATCGACAAGAGACTTCCGCTTCTCGTTTCCAGAAAGGGCGAGGGCGAGGACATGACGGCCGCGCATTGTATGAATGTTGGTCATCTGACGCTCGCCGGGGACTTCGCAACAGGAAACTCCATTAACGTCACGAGTTTTTTGATCGGAACGCTGACTACATACTCGGTGTTCATTCCGGGGCTAACGCGCGAACCCTCCGAACTCTTCCGTTCACCATAAGAGATGTTCAACCTTGCTCAAGACCCGTTGACAACTCTGAGCTCAGCGTTACCTCGAGAAACTTCTTTGGAAGATTGAAGGACAACCGCTGAAAAGGATTCTGAAGATCTTCCCCAATTCGAGTGCTGTATAATGACTACCATGGAGACAAGGAACATCTACGACAAGAAGGTCGAGAGATATAGTGACCAGAACTGTGGGCCCTCTTTGCCATTGGATCTCTCGGCCTTCTCGAGGTGGTCGCACGGTGTCGAGATCTGCCAGTTCGGTGCTTGCGGACCGCATTTTGAAATTTTCGAGTGCAGAGCCATATGCACGTTCCCCGAGTGGAGTGAGTGATACAGCCCTCGTCGTCGAACGAAATCTTGGTTTGGGTAGAGCTTTCCGCGCCCGCCCGTGATAGATTAATTAGGCTAACTTATGGTTGCTCACTGTCCGATGTGATGCAGCAGGGTTCTTATCCTTCGAATTTGTCATGTTTCCCAACCCCACTATCTTCCAACTCCACTACTTATTTCCGTTCTCCGACTTGCGATGCCATTTAAAGGCCATTTTGATTTGGGCCTCCCATCCTCAAAACTCGACTACCTCTAATCTCTGTTCTAACGCTTCGGTATCAATCTCGCCCTATTCCGCAACTTCTGCCATGCCAGACAGCTCGTCGAGGCCCCACCACGGAACCTCTGTCGCCACCCGACTGGAAGAACACCATCTCTCACGGCTAACGAGCGCTAGGACAAGGACACTCGTGATGCAACGTAAACGACGAATTCTATTGGCGTCCAGGACGTCAGATACCCCGCCCGAACCTGGTACTACGACCTTGTCGTACTCAGTAGTCGCTATAGAGGAGATCAGCTTATCAACCGAAATACGTAAGTTATTCTCGTGAGACCTTTCGCTCTTATGATCGTAACTGAAGGTTGTGGGTTTACAGTGGACACCAAGCCCAACGATCAAGTCGATCTTGGACACGAGTCTCGAATGGGTCATCGTCCTCTTGAGCCTGAACGGCACAACAACGTTCATGTCCCCGAGATAGACACGACCAGTGGTCGTGGGCGATGGATTGTAAGTTTCAACGTATCTCCTTCAAGGCCAATACTTCGTTTCTTATCGCCACGTCGTTGATTTTCTATCTCGTTTCCTTGAAGAACACACGTCATCATCGACACTATCTTCGAAACGGTCCTGTTAGAAGGTCGCGTTATGACTCTACTCGAGAGTCATTCACCACTCCTCAACATCAATTATCCGGCTCTCCAGCTCCCCCGGGCCCAGTTCCGGTTTCTACGATACAACCTCGGTCAACGTCTCAGCATCAACCAGTGCAAACTCCTCCTACCTGCTCGGGTATCTCCTTTTCGTGTTCTGCAGAGGATAACCACCGTCGTCGTCCATCACTATCTTCGTCGTTTTCTTTGTCACCATCATCGTCTCAATCACCCCCACCGTGATCCATAGCCTGCCAAGAGCTATCTTCATCAATTTTCCCTATTCCTAGTCCCAATCTGGTGCATTTCTACTATATCCTGTTACGCACTCCCTCACGTGTGCCGTCTGTGGTACACTTCGAGAGGAGTCACCCATGATTCGGAAGAGGGCTGAAGGAGGAGGTGCGATTGATGCGGGGAGACTAAGTAGTCGTACTAGTCAATTAAAACCCATGGTTGATCTTATACGCTGTCTTTGCGTACATGGTTATCTATCACACATCCACGATTTTTTTTCTACGAGAGTTGAGCCCAAGGCGAACTAGGGATTTGGAAAGCCCTTAAAGGGTAACTGCCCCATGGCTGAGTTGGTTACAGCGTCCGACTGTTATCATAGCCATTTCGTTGACTGGACAATCGGAAGGTCGTGAGTTCGAGCCTCACTGGGGCAGATGGACAAATCAACGCCAGCCTTTTTTCCTTCTAACCAGGAACCTGAGTTTTATGTAGACGTAACGGATACGCGAAAGAGCTCAAGGTCTCAGACCGCACCAAAAAAAACATATTTCTAAAGAAACATTCTCCAAAATTTCCCCTGCGTTTTTTTTTTCCCCTCGCGAGCCACATGCATACCTTAAACACATCACCTGTAGCGCTCGAATCACCAAACCGTGCTGCGGATCTATATCATCTTTTTTACTGCGGATTCTGTTAACAGAGTTAAAGGGTGGACGGGCCGTTCCTTTTGGTATTCAACACGGACATTTCACCCCGCACAGGCGATAGCACTAGAATTGAAGAGCGGGACCGTATAGGAATTTCTCAAATCAAGCTCAATGCGTGGTCGTAGCACCGATTGTGGATCATATGGTTTTCAGTTTGAGACAGTAGTATAAAAACGCCGAGTGAACTAACGTCGGATTCAAGGGGAACTCACTTTCTCCTGCAACAAACCGAAAAGAAATGGTCGCCTTTCAATATCTGTTCACTCTTAGTACCTTTGGTGCGCTAGCCTTTGCCGCTCCGAGCAAGTTGGAGCGTCGCCAAGTCGAGCCCAAAGGAGCTGTTGACTGCGTTTATGTCTTTAAATGCCAGTCAGACTACGATGGAATAAATTTGAAAGATGAAGTGAATTTTCGTACGTATTAGGATTCTAAAACTTATACATCGACTTGCTTCATCTTTTTTTAGTGGTTGTGTCGGAAGTTCTACAGGAGACAAACGCTGCGATGTACAACGTAAGTCACATTCCATATCCGCCGAGTAGACTTTTTGCGCTCGTTTTAACGTGGTTCAAATGACAGTACGGTCTCACGCCCGACATAAACCCCGACGACTCTGTGTCCGCATCTGGAAAGATCGCATCCTACGACCTTGAAGCTGACGATTTGAAAGCTCTAGTTGTTGCTTGGCCGGGAAAAACTTTGACTGGGACGGGAGGGAACGGGTTCTTGAAATGGGATGTGGAGAGCGTTACTTGTCAATAAGCAAAGAAAAAAAAGTTCTAGGAGAAGCCTATGCGCAGAATTCGGAAGTTGGGAGGATACGTCGTTTCTTGTAGTAACTGACTCCAATGTATTGATTGTTCGGGACTTGTTTCATTTCCGAGTCATTGGTGGCGCTTGATGTATAGACGCATCGTCTTTCGATTTGTGTCAACGGGTATAAGTTCGGATTTCATCCCATGATAGCAATTCCGGGTGGAGTTTACCCACTGGCGTGGACCCTACTTTCTGGTTACACTCGACTTCAATGGTAACACGAAATCCGTTTGATGAAGATGAGCCTATTCGACCTGAGCTACTTATCAACTTGGGATATATCCTGGCCCCAGCGCCCTCGCATCCTTACCCCCTCGTTCAACACGAGCCACTCACAAGGGCTAGCGCTCCTATCTTCCACAGGCATTTCGACGCTCTGCCTTCACAGCGGACGAATGTATTTGAATGAGAATTTAAAAAAAAAACACCGTAGGTTTGGCTCTATCGTTGGTTTCATACATATATGAATAATCCGACGTAATCGCTTTACTTCTTCGCCCGGTCGGTAAATTGGTACCAACACCTGCACTATTTCAGCTTTATCATCTTGGGCTCCAAGAACTCGTTCAATCATTAAAACATATCTAGAGGACTGGAATGAAAATATTGACTCCACCAAACTTCCCTGCTATTGTCGTCGTCTCCACCTTCAACTTGACTATCCTTCTCAATGGGAGCCAAAGACTCCGCCTCTTCAAGAAGCGTCAAAATGCACCAAACGTCCCTTTCACCCATGTTCCAAGAATTCCTCGAGGTTCTCTCGGTTAAGACTGAAACAAAACCCAATCCTCACAACGAAAGCTACCAAAAACGAGCGGATTCCTGACGCATTTCGTTTGAAAAAGTCGAATGGACCAGTGATCCAGATGGGACCGCAGAGTGAAATGCGCGGCTCAAGCCCTTGTCGATGACTTATGGTCACCTACACGCCTTCTACGCCTCCTTCTGTACTTTTTCGAAAAAGGCGCAAGAAGACGTTCTTTGAAAGAAGGTAGAGGAGGCACACGAAGAGACGGAAGGAGAGCGATTGAACAGTCGACAGTTGAAATTAGCGGATATTGTAGAGCGATCGTAGGCAGCGGCAGCGACCGGCAATAGTCAGCGGCACTGATCGATCAATCTTGAAGCCGATTTCTATAACCGTAGATTTACCGTAGGACCGAGTCTCACCAGCATATATCAAATGAGCAGCCCGACTATCTGCGCTGTGCACCGACGGCCAAAACAGCGAACTGGATATATCAAGTATGTTGATAGCGGCAAGCTAGTTCGAGACATTCAACCGCGGTCTCTGCTAAGATTATGGAGGACATTGGGGAGAAACCGGAGAGCCATTTTCAAAGCTTTCACCGCCATTTGTAACTTGCAGAAGGCTCTCAATGAATTTCAAACTCTGCTGTGACCACAAGTCAACAGCCGCCTAGAGAATGATACGACATAGCGGAACGTCGCCATTGAGCTACTTGGCAGCATTCACATTCATTGCCCACCAGCATCGTTCACCAGTATTGTTATAATTTTACCTCGCTCGGCGCACGGTATGGAGACTCAGATCGAAGTTCCACTTCGCCAGTGGCTCGAATTGAAGGTCTGCTCAGCAACGTTTCAGGCCTATGTAGCACGATCTCCACTGGCAGGACTATGGGTGTCGTCAGGCAACGGATCGGATTTATGAAGCGGAAACAGGTCGTCCTGGGGAAGCCGAGCATGGCCCCTTTGGACACCAAGTTCAAACTCCGACCTCGGTCGCCCTCAAAAAGCAGTTTATTGCGTTCGGTCCACAATCATCATTTTCAAAAGACCTCAAAAGTTCACTCAACCTTCTACATCATGTCTCACATTGATCAACTCCAGACTGTGAAGAATGCGATTTCAAACGGGGAGTGAGTCCCCGTTCTGTAGCCTCATTCGTTGACCAAGTAACTGACTTCCACGAGTAGCGCCGACGAGGTGTCCGTCGCGATTTCCGACCTCCTCGACGACCCCGACTTTTGTCCTTATGGGGGTCTTCTTGCGTTTCCCCTCGCCATGTATCACGATGTTGTTCCCGGCACCGAACAAAGATTCTTTAACTTTCTTCTCTTTGAGCTCGAAGACTCGGACGACATGGTCCGTAGAGTATGCTGCAACCTCGGCCTGAATGTTTCCATGCAAACTGTCTTCGAAGAGTATGTAGAAGGCGACTACAGGCAGACAGAGTGGGAAGGGAGTCGTCTATTGATTGGCGGCGCACCCTATATGGACGGTCATTTGATTGGAGATTACTATTTGACCGAGCATTTCTTGCAAACAGAGTCTCACAGGAACCTCCTCCATCCCTATGGTGAATTACCGTGCCGCGCTACTAGGTATGGTGAACCCTCAAAGGCCATTGCTTGGGTTGGCTATATGGAAAATACCCAAACAACATATGACATGACATGGCTTGGCGAGGGTGGGCGCCGCAAACACCACCCAATCTATGTCCATATGATTGCTGCTTTTGGTCCCGCGGAGGATAGGAGCAACTGGGAAGCTTATGAAGGAGAGATATGGGAGGAGGAGGAGGACGGTTATGAAGGAGAATGGGAGGAGGAGTACTAGGAGCACTGAGATCAGTGGACTTGTCACAAGATTCTCTCCTATTTATTTTTGATTTTTCGATTTTGCAGGATGGGGATCATTGAGAAGCTTATGAGGCAGAGGTGTGGCAAGTATTGATGTCCTGTATAATTATCTGACGGAGATTAGATCATATACATATAGCATCGATTAATTACACAGTAATAGATTGGTATATTTTCATGCATAGAAGTGATTATGTTTCCAAAAATCCAAGCGAGTAATCGAGTCGCTGAGCTCCCTGATCGATAGCATCGTGCCTTTTATTTACCAACCTTCAATTTTTCGGTCATCATTTCTCTTGACATTCGTACCGTCCGCTTCTTTTACATCATTCCATAACATTCCGTGTGTCGAAATCCCAAGCCGCGGGAACTTGCTGCCAGGTTCTTCCCCTACTTCAGCGAAGATTCACAAACTATATAACAAGTCTCTCCGTCCACGGTAATGATATCTGGTGCATCAACCAACATGACTGATGGAAAGAATTCGGGCTTGGAATTCATGCTTGATTTCAGGAACAGGATCGATTACAACAACAACGACCAACAACAAGCACGAACAAAACAATTCATACCACCATGACATTCCCCCCCATTCTGTGTTCAACCTCTAGACAGGAATAAAGTTCCAAGACTGTTTGTTGGACTGGAGATCAACCTGAGCATTTGTCAGTCTCTTTCAAAAGCTTAAAGAGATTGTAAAACTGTACATTACTGCCATTGAGGGACCAATAGAGATCTCTGTTGTCACTGGTCATGATGTAGCCAGTGTAGCCTCCCTTGTTGTTTCTGGACCAAAAATATCAACTGACAGGAATAAAGCTCATCCAGGCCGACAGTCTCACCTCGCAACGTTAATGATCCATGGGGTGTCACTGGCAGAGCGAGTGACCTTAGCACCCGGAGTGGATGGTATGGCAGTATAGGCATATTCGCCGTTACTCTCCTTAGAACGAATTCGGCCAACACCATCGATAAGGAACTGAGTAACAACCTCACACATCAGTTTGTGTGATCCACAGAGAATGATTCACAAACCTTTTGCTCAGCAGTGGTTGTGACGTCCGCGACACAGAACTGTTTACCGGAGGCGTTGGGGGTGACAACACCTTGGGTAACTCCCCCAGTAACGTCAATTTGGATGTTGTATATCCCAGGAGGAAGTGCAACAGGTACGGCGGGTGCAGACATATTTGATGAGAGAGCTTTGTGGGTATTTCAAGAGTGCAGTGGTTATCGGGTTGATGTCAATAGACGTGGTTTCCGGTCGCCTTATATACATTCCAGACTGGAGTTTGTAAGTATTTT